GCCTCGGAAACCCAAGGAGGGGTCGCTATGAGTCGGGGCCGACTCGACGGCACATAACAACTACAACAAAATGTGCTCTAAGGGACAATAGAACTTCCCAATCATAATGATTATCACACTGTATTTTAATTATTAAAGAGAGCAGGGACTATATTTGTCATCTTAATTGACAATGCCTAACACAGTTTCTGTCCGGTACATATGTTGGTAAGCATTCAATCAATGTTTATTGGATTTAAATTTAACTAATGGTACCGGAAAGGAAGCAGGTTTGTTTGGCTTAGAGAAGTTCAGTTTAGAACATAGTGAATTTGAGATACCTGTGAGATACCCAAATGGAGATTTTCAGTGGACAGTGGACTAGGCTGGAGCTCCAAAGAAAGATCTGAACTGGAGATACAGGACTCAGCAGCATATGGAGGTCATTTGAGCTGAGGAGGAAATTAGACCACCCAGGGAGGGTGTGCAGAGTACAAAGGGCAGAAGAGCTCAGACAGACCCCTGGAGTTTAAGAAATAGGCAGAGGAAGGTCCTTCCTAATGAAGCAGAAAAATCGCTGCTAGAAAGACAAGAGGGACACTTCCTGTTTGTAAAAGGGGAGAGAAGTTAGCTGTGTTGGCTGCTGCTGAGACGTCAAGCAGCGTAAGAACTCCAAAGGGTATATGCAAGGTCAAGGGTTACCTTAGTGAGCAGTGACCTTGGAAACGTGGAAGAGTGAGAGGAGAAAATATGGAGGCCCCTGTGTGTAGGCAACTCTTTTAAGAAATCTGAGAGTTCCAAGAGTCAAAGAGAAAAAGAGTGGTAACGGAGTAAATGGATGTTTGTCTACAGATAGGAGAGATGTGGAGATGTTTAAAACTAATGAAAAGGAGGAGTCAGTAAAGGAAGAGGATAAAGTGCAGGAGCAAGAGCTTCCAAGAAGGCAGAAGAGGATGGATTCCAGCACTTAAACACTAGATGAATGAATGAATACATACATACATGAATGAAAGAAGCCAGGCACTATTTTGAAAGTGGGAAGGAAGAGTTGAAGAGTAGGGTTTAACATGTGTTGAAAGTGGAGCAAACTAAGGAGGAAGATAACTGAGGCAGAAATCCTGTACTGGCAACCCAGCCCTCAGGTCGGGGAAGGGACCATGGCTCTCTGACATCATCAAAGGGCAGGAGCACTGCCATCTCTGCGTCTCCAAGTGGTACAGAAGGTCTCACCCTGTACACTAGAGAAACTGAAAGGAAGGGGAAAAGGGGTGGGTCAGGTGAAGTGGCAGCACAAGTGTGGATTTTAAAGCACTGACAAGGTGGTAGGGAAAGCCACCCATCTGCATGAGACTTGGTAGAGGCAGTCAGTCCTGCCTGGAGGAAACTGACATTAGCCCCTTCCCTGCCCCCGTATATTCTCTTAGCATCCAGTATTACTTTTCCAGAGTCACTGATCCAATTATAATTAATCAATTTATGGTGTCATTAGTTAAGGTCTATCTCTCCTTAAGTTCCAAGAGGACAAGAACTGTGTCTGTTTTACTCCCCTTCTCTTACCTCTAGTGCCTAATGCTCTTCCCTTGTACACAGGAGATGCTCAATAACTGCTTGTTAAGAACACGAATAAAGGAATGAATGAGTCCCCACACTAAAGTAGGGCCTTCCCAAGCGTTTTATGTGTAGGAGATCGATCATATCAAGGCTTCTCAGCTTCAAAACACTCAGCCCTGCATTGGTATTTCCTTTTTTTTTTTTTAATTGTAATTTGGGTGAAAGTTTATAGAACAAATTTGTTTATCATTCAACAATTCATACACATTTTATTTTGTGACATTCACTGCAATCCCCACAATATAATAGCTCTCTTCCCACTTTCTCCCTGTGTTTATTATTATTTCCCTTGGTCCTTCTTTCATATCCCTTCCTTCCTTCTTAGCTTTATCCCTGGGCAGGTGCTGCCCTTTTGATCTCATATGGTTGATTGTTCTAATGAGTGCATATCTTCTTGGTATTACTGTTTACCTTATAAGCCTGTCTATCCCATTTGGCTGAAAGCTGAACCATGGGAGTGTGTTCAGTTCCTGGCTTGAAGGGTTTCTAAGGACCATAGCCTCTGGGATCCTTGGGAAGGTATTTTTACCTCTGCCTCCAACTCTGACCTCTGACCCCCTCTGTGTTTCTCCCAGGCACTTTCTATTTTTCTCTGGTTTAGCCTTATTATTTTTCTGACTCTCTGCGTCTGCACAGGAAGCATGCAGGTTTAGGTCTGAGGTGATTGGCAACGGAAACATTGGTGCCTATGTAAATAAGGCAGGGTCACAAACATTTTCTTTTCGTTACCTCCTGTATCTTTTCCTGTGTTTCTGTCTCCGACCTGATTCTGTTTCCTCAACTTCTTGTGTCCAGCTCAAGACTCTTACCACCATCCAGGACCAGCTCTCCCAGCCCCTGGATCTTCTAATGGGCCCCACAAGGTACATAAAAGAAAATGAACGATCTAGGCTATCTCCTCTGATTTCCTGCCCGGCCAGCCGCATAGTGCTGCTAACCACATCCTCTCTCACCTTATTCATATACTTCCTCACCAGACACACCACCCAGGAGTTCTCAGCCCCCAAAGCCTGCCACTGACCCTCTATCCTGGCTCCCTGCTTCACCTTCCCCTCTCACGCCATGATTCCTGTCCTTCCCTGACACTGATCTTAGAACCATGTGCCCCTGCCCTGAGCCAGCCAGTGCTGTTCCTTTCTGGATCTGCAATGCCTCTTCTTCTCACAGGTGACAGTGCTGACCACAATGCTGCCAGGCCGGTGGTGGCCAACCACTTGGGGGAGCCTAGGGCTAGGATCAGGAGGCCCTTCTCGGGGGTCCCAGCTCTGTGCCCTCTATGCCTTCACTTACACTGGTGCAGATGGTCAGCAAGTGTCTCTGGCTGAAGGGGACAGGTTCCTTCTGCTTCGAAAGACCAACTCAGACTGGTGGCTGGCTAGGCGCCTGGGAGCACCCTCCAACTCTCGACCCATCTTTGTCCCAGCTGCCTATGTGACAGAGGAATCTACACCTTCTAAGGGCCCAGCTACCATCATCCCCAACCGATCCTGCTGGACTCCTGGTAAGTAGGCCCTCCCCAATCATCTTCCTACCACTTTCTGAAAATCATTGAAAGAATTCCCTCCCCATGTTTCTGTTGACCCCCTTCTCTTATTCCCCTGCAATCAGCCTAGCCCTCATCCCTGTCCTAGTATCTCCACCCACCATCCCTCCACATATCCTAGTCCAAGCTTTCCAGGTCTCCTGTTATTTCCCATAGACTCCCTCTGTCCTTATCTTCCCACAGGGCCTCCTGCATGGAGGAACCGCCAAGGTCATGCCTTTGATCACCTGCCTGCCCCCATTTCTCTGTTACCAGGGTCAAAATTGTTTCACGGCTCCCTGGAGGAGCTGCACCTGTCTCAGGCACCTCCAAACAGAGTTCAGGCTATGTCTAAGGAGCCTCCTCCTCTTCCCCAGAAAGTCTGTAGAAGTGTCAGTGTTGCCAATTTGAGGCCCAGCCTCCTGAAGCCCCTTCAGGAAGGACCAACTGGAAGGTCTCTCTCCCAGGGAGACTTGCTGACAGAGGCCATTGCCAACATGGTGAGTTATAGCTCTTCTGAGGATGGTTAGTCAACAGATACTGTTGGGTCCTGTTCTAGACACAATGGTGAACCAGATGACAGAATCCCTGCCCCTAAGAGATTTCTGGTGATAGACAAACATGTAAACAAATTAGTAAGATAACCCTTGGAATTGATAAGTGCTGCAAAATACAAGCTTTAGAGAATGACCGAGGTGGTCTAGGAAGGCATCCCTGAGGACGTGACATTCAACTGAATCTGAATAAGGAGGAAGAGGCAGTCATAAGTCCATCTAGAAGGACTTTTTGCCATCAGCAAAGGCCCTGAGACAACATGACATTTGGCACAATAGAGGGATTGAAAGAAAGCCAATAGAGCTGTTCTCTCTTTTCCTCCCTACTCCTGGTCCAGAAGCAGAGTTTTTCCTGTGCCCTGTCTTCCCAGCTCAAGTCACCAGCTAGTCCCCTCTGGAGACTCCCTGCTCTATCCTAAGACTCACCCCCTCCCTTCTTTCTAGTGGATGGAAAATGGCCCCTCCTCCCTCATGTTCCCCTAGCTACCAGGGTCTCAGATGGCACAGTCTCCTTTTACCCTGCAGGATGTGAGGGTGGGGCACTCCCCCCAAGCCCCCCCCCCATACACATAAAAGCCTGTTCCCCTTTCCTGTGGCCCTGGGGTGGGGGCGGGGTAGGGGAGGAGGGAAGTTGGAAACAGGAAGTGAGGAGAAAAGCAGAGAAGACCGTGAGGGAGAGATTAATAATAATAATTTAAAAAAACGGCTGGGGACTGGGGTTTCTCCCCTAGTACCTGGGTCACCCCAGCCAGGAGCCGGTGGTGAGAAAATGGTTGAGGAGGGAGGGAAAGGAGGTGATTCAGTAGAGACAAGATTGGGGAGGGACACAAGCTGGATAACTACCTCTTTCTTCCCCTTTCTTAACAGGCAGAACCCCAGCCCCTCATGTCAGAGCCCCCCGTGTACTGTAACTTGGTGGACCTTCGCCGCTGCCCCCGGTCCCCGCCCCCCAGCCCTGCATGCCCTCCCTTGCAGAGACTGGATGCCTGGGAGCAGCACCTGGATCCCAGCTCTGGACGCTGCTTCTACATAAATTCGCTGACTGGCTGCAAGTCCTGGAAGCCCCCTCGCCTCACTCGCTCCCGAGAGACGGTGAGACCTTTCCCTCCTGCTTCTCTAATTGTCCTTTCAACCTCCTCTCTCCCCCTACAGAGCCCCAAGGTAGTGTGTTTCCTCTCTGAGGTTCTCAGAAGGTCAGAAGAATCTGCAAACCGTGAGAACGGTGTTGAGATAGAGTTGAGGTGGCATCTGGATGTAGCTTCACCTCTCCTTCCTCCAGACCCAGAACCTTGGCTCCATGGAGGCAACACAGACCCTCAATAGGAACAGTGATCTGCAGCCTCAGGCAAAGGGCTCAGGATCTGATACTGGGAACCCAGAATTGCGTGACCCCCAGGTGAGATCCCGTCCACCTCCCAATCACATACTAGAGAAGGCAACATTTATGACTTTCTCTTTTATGCAAGACATTTTTCTTCGTTACCCATCACGTCATCCCCTGCCTCTCATCCACATTCATACCCCTCTTTCCCCTACAGCCAGGGACTCGGAAGTTGAAGGTTCCTCCACCTGTTTCTTCAATCCCCTCCCCCAGGGCTCACCCTGCTTCAGCCATGGAACCTCCCAGCTCCACACCCCAGACCAGCTCCCAGCCTTGCAGTCCTGTCGACCTCTGCCACAACTTCTGGACGACCCCCATGTGAGCCTCCTGTTTTCTCCTGAAGGCCAAAATCCTCTATGCCCTATTTCCCATTTCCTGCTCTTCCATAACTATCTTCCTCTTTCTTTCCCAGTCCCCCAACTTTAAAAGAGCTCACTCTGGGAAATCCCCAGGGAATGGCTTTGGCTACTGGGGGGGGGGGGAGGTATAGGGTGACATCTTGATACGCCTTCACTTCCAGGAGGTGGAAAAGTCAGGCCTGCTCAACATGACCAAGATTGCCCAAGGGGGGCGTAAACTCAGGTGAGAAGAACCCAGACTAGAGCAGGGGTCCAGGGCAGTTGGGTTGCTAAAGGTAGAAAGGGTGTTGGAAGAGTGCCCTCCCTAAGGCATTCTGGAATGACCTTTTCACTACCACCACCGCCCCTACAGGAAGAGCTGGGCCCCATCTTGGGTGGTGTTAGCTGGTAACAGCTTGGTGTTCTACCGGGACCCACCGCCGACTGCGCCCTCATCGGGCTGGGTGAGTGTTAGAGAGGAGAGGAGGGGCAGGCAGCAGAGGTCTGGGGACAGTTTCTTCCTACCTCAGGCCAACTGTGGGGAAGGGAGGCTGGTAGAAAGACTGAAAGGAGTTAGGAAGAATCACAGCCCTCCATCGCCTCATAGCCTACCTAGTGAGGGGAGAGGCGGTGAGAGAAAAAACGCTTGGCCTCAGTTTCTCCCCTAATTGCCAGGGGCCAGCGGGCAGCCGACCTGAAAGCAGCGTGGACCTTCGCGGGGCAGCCTTGGCCCACGGCCGCCACCTGTCCAGCCGCCGCAACGTCCTGCACGTGAGTGCTTCCGACACATCCCAAAAGCCCACCTGACCCAAGAGCGCGCTCCCAGTTGTCTCCTTCTCGGCCTCCCTGCTTTGTCTTTTCTGCCTGCTTTTTAAGCTCCTTTCCGCTGACTCAAGCCTTTCCCTGCCGTCCCCTCAGATCCGCACGGTCCCGGGACACGAGTTCCTGCTGCAGTCGGACCAGGAGACCGAGCTGCGAGCCTGGCACCTCGCGCTGCGGGCGGTCATTGACCGGCTGGTTAGAGGGAGAGGGAGGATGGCAAGACAGAGACGGGAGAGGGACCGGGGCAGAATTCGGAGAGCCGGGGTGGGGGCAGCCCGGTCTTGGGGCAGAGCCGCGGGGTGGGGCTGGCGCTGGGATAGGGCACCAGCAGACCATTTTCCTCCGACCTGGCCCGCCCCGCCCGTCTGGGTCTAGGATCGGGAGAACCCCTTGGAGCTGCGCCAGTCGGGCTCCGGGCCGGCGGAATTGGGGGAGCTCAGTGCCGGGGAGGATGAGGAAGAAGAGGAGCCCGAGCCCTTGCTCAAGCCGCTGCTGCGGCTCGGCAGCCGCCGGAGCTCCAGTAAGGGGCGGGCTGAGGAGGCGGGGTGTGGGAGCGGTTTTAGCTTCTGCTCTGAGAGGCCGCTGTTCTCCCACTCTTGCTCTACCTACCTCCTACAGGTCGGTGTCCGGAAGGAAACGAGCAGAACCGAGTGAGGAGCAAACTAAAGCGGCTTATTGCAAAGAGGCCACCATTGCAAAGTCTGCAGGAGCGGGGGCTGCTCCGAGGTGAGGCGGGACCTGGCTGGGCGCGCTGGCGCCCTGCTCCTACGTCCCTGCTTTGGTGTTTTTACAAGTCCATTTCATGGATGAGAAAACTCCAGCGAGGCTCAGAATAGCGCTCCCCAGAACTAGAACGCTGGTCTTCTGACACCATTGCTTTCCCCCCGCTACTTCAGATATTGAGGGGGGTGGGGAGAAAAGAGGGTGAACCTCCTAGGCCTGGCACAGACGTCCAGGAGGCCAGGCCAGAGTGAAGGCCTGTGCTGAGAACTTTCGTGGGAGAAGCTGACACTGGCTTCCCACCTCATTCTGTGCCTTTTCAGACCAGGTGTTCGGCTGCCAGTTGGAATCACTGTGCCAGCGGGAAGGGGACACCGTGCCCAGTTTTGTACGGCTTTGCATTGCTGCTGTGGATAAGAGAGGTCATTTCCCCAGAGACCCCAGAATCTGCCTTTCCAACAGGCCAAGGCCCAGCATTTCCCCCTCCCACATCCATCTTCCTACTGCCCACTTTCTCTCCACTCAAAGACCCCCCACTATCCCTCCTCATACACACTTCAGAGTGGAAGCTTTATCTGCTTCCTACTTCATCTCCTAGGTCTAGATGTGGATGGGATTTACCGAGTGAGCGGGAACTTGGCGGTGGTCCAGAAACTGCGCTTCCTAGTGGACAGAGGTGAGAAGGCTTGAGGGCAAGTGGTGGTAGGCCTCAGGATCATGGGTGGGCTTGGTGTGAGGGAGCTGGCAGAACAGGCAGGTCTTCTGGCTTAGCTCCTAATCCCTCGTAAATATTGCAGAGCGGGCAATTACTTCTGATGGGAGATACGTGTTCCCAGAACAGCCAGGACAAGGTATTTAAATAAAAGCCCTCTCAGACCCTTGAAACTTCCCACACCCTCCCTACTCCCCACAGATTCCCTCATGTCCTGTTTGGGGAGGGTCCTCCCCATTCCCACCTTCGCCACCTTGCCTCACTGTGGACTCTCTAGGCATTCCTGTGATCTGCCTTGATTGAATCTTCTCCTAAACTCCTAGTCTCACATCTCTGGGTCCCTCTAGCCCTTTATGAGCCCACTAAGTCCCACTGTACCTCCACCTCTCTCCAGAAGGACGATTAGACTTGGACAGTGCTGAATGGGAGGACATTCATGTGGTCACTGGAGCCCTGAAGCTTTTTCTCAGGGAGCTGCCCCAGCCTCTGGTGCCCCCACTGCTGCTGCCCCATTTCCGTGCTGCCCTTGGTAAGGGATGGGAGCTTTTGGGCAACATACTTAATATAGGGAGATGTGAGTGGTAAAGAATGGGTTTGAAGCTCCCTCACCCTCTTTGGTCCAAACTGAGCACAGAGATGGAAAATATGTTCAACTCCTGTGCCAGCTCCAGTTATTTATTTGTAAATGTTTAGAGTACTGGGTGGAAAAAAACTGAAACAGCAGTTGGGCAGAATGGAAAGGAAAGCTGTGATGGATTAATGATGTCTTCCATAAGCATGGAAAACAGCAGGAGACGTCTGACCTAGCAGCCCACTCCCTCTACCCTGGGCAGCTAGTCCGGTTGATGCTAACCTCCTTTCCTTGCCCTTCCTGTTACACTCTCTCTAGCCCTCTTGGAATCAAAGCAACGCCTCTCCCAAATACAAGAATTAATAGGCTCAATGCCAAAGCCCAACCATGACACTCTGCGGTACCTCCTGGATCATTTATGCAGGTCAGGAATCCTGAACATCTTTGTGCTCAGGGAGGGAGGAATGGGACATGTTCAGGTGGGGTGAAAGTAGTTGTCTTAATTTCCTAGTGCTGCCATAACATAAATGCCACAAGTGGATGACTTTAATGAACAGAAATTTATTTTCTCACAGCTTAGGAGGCTAGACAGGAACCCTGGTGGCACAATGGTTAAGCACTCAGCTGCTAACTCAAAGTTGGTGGTTTAAACCTACCATCAGCTCCTCAGGAGAAAAGACCTGGGGATCTGCTCCTATAAAGATCTCAGCCTAGGAAACCCTATAGCATCAACTCTAAAGGAAGGCTCTCTATTGGCTCTGGGGAAAAATCCTTGTCTCAGCAACTCTAGCCCCACGTTCCTGGCTCCTTGGTGATCTCGATGTGGCATCTGTCTTCGCCTCATTGGTGCTTGCTTGTTTCTGCCTAAACTGCTCTTTTTATATCTCAAAAGTGGATTTGGTTTAAGATGCACCCTATACTGATATGCTTCGTTAACTAACATAACAAATGAAACCTTATTCCCAAATGGGATTACATCTACATGTCTAGGGGTTAGTATTCTGAAACTTATTTTTTTGGAGGGGAAGGGGGGAACGTGAATAAATCCATAACAGTAGAGAAACACCTAAGTTTAGTGGGCAAGTCAAGGTAACAGGCAACCTCTGTAGTGGATGCACTACCAGGATCAAAGCCTTTGGATAGGTCAGAGTCAAATGAAGAAATAGGGACCAAGACAAGTTCAGGGATGTCCTAAGAGAAATACTCACTCTCCTTCCCTCTGCTTCTTTGTCTCCCATTGTGGCAGAGGTGTTGGCTTGTTTGGCTGAGCCAAGCCAGGGCAGTGACTTCTCAGAGGGGATGTCTACTTGAATTAAAGCCTCCCAAATTGTAAGCAGAGAGGACTCTAGGGGCAGTCCCTGAAGCTGGAAAGACAGCTGTATCCTAGTTCCTGAAGGTTATCTGCTAGTGTCATCTCCATTCCCCTTGAGGCTGTCTCCTTGGTTTCCTTCAGCCACCACATAGAGGCATCTCTGAGTGGAGCCTTTCCTGCTTAAATCTTTAACCAGTTGCCATCGAGTTGATTCTAGCTCATGGTGACCCCATGTATGTCAGGGAAGAACTGTGCTTTATAGTGTTTCAATGGCTGATTTTTTGGAAGTAGGTTTTCAGGCCTTTCTTCCAAGGCACCTCTGGGTAGACTTGAAACTCCAACCTTTGGGTTAGCAGCTGAGCATGATTTTTTATTTGATGTGGTCAAGTTGCTGCCTTATATCTTTTTCCTTTGGCCTTTGCCTGCAGGGTAATAGCACACTCAGATAAGAACCGAATGACTCCCCACAACCTGGGAATTGTGTTTGGACCCACCTTATTTCGGCCAGAGCAGGAGACATCTGACCTAGCAGCCCACGCTCTCTACCCTGGGCAGCTAGTCCAGCTGATGCTCACCGAGTTCAACAACCTCTTCCCTTGACTCCAGCAAGGCACAGAAGACAAAAAATATTTCTAGCAATGTCTTTTGAGTGGCCTTTGGGAAGAAGGTCCTATTTTGAGGACATCCTTTTAAACTCTGTATTACCCAAATGACTCTTTCTGTCTTTGTGGGTCTGACCTGAGGGACCGAGATGGAGTGGGAGAGCTTCTTTAAAAACAACACTTGCTTTTCATTCCCCATCATGACCCCTTCCCCAAGATACAACTTCAGCAGGGCTCTTTCTGATGCAGTTTATTATCAGGAAATAGTGTCATTATCAAATTCCTCCCCAAAATATGTACAGACTTTATATAGCCCCAGCCCATACTCTCATCCTTAGGGCTTCTTATGCAGGGAACTATGGAGACACACAAGCCTCCCTTCCACTGCTCTTGGGGCATGGAAACCCCTTAGGAAATGAAGACCTGTGATAGATGGGATTCTCCACTCTTTAGGCACTAGAGTTGAGGAATTGAGTCTCCCCAGGCAGGGATCCCAGTAAGACACTCATGTTGCCCACAGCCATGTTGGGAGGCCCAGAGGGAGGTGGGGTATGTTCAGAGTTGCCCTCCTGATCATGGGAAGGAGGAGGACTCAGCCCCTGGGTCTCATCTAGAATAGCCACAAAGTCCAGCTGAGTGTTGTCAAGGTCAAGAGAGTCCAGGGGGTTACACACCTGCCCTTCTGGAGGAGGGTACAAGGCAGGACCTCCTCCCAGCCTGCCCACTTCAGGATGGCCACAGCTAGGGTTGGAGCCCCCTGCCTTGAGGGGCCCATAGCAAGTAGGCAACGGGGGTAGAAGTCGGGGTGGTGCTCCTGCCCTATGGGGAGCCCTGTTTGCCCCCACTGCAAAATTTTCATGGCATTGTAAAGGGGTAGGATAGGAGTCTGACTTGTGATGGGACAAATTAGGTGCAAAGCCAGGTCCATATGTGGCCATGGAGGCCTTGGCAGGGCTTGGGCTAACCTGAGAACCCCCTGGAAACTTGGGGTTCTGGTAAGGAGGTTCATGGACTGGGGGCTCTCCCCTGCTCCCACCCTCCCAAAGCAGCTCCTGTTGAGACTGAACATAATTACATACAAGCTGAGCTTTGAGTTGTCCTGTGGAGTGAGGAGGAGAGTCAAAGTCCAGGCCAGGCCTGGATTCTGAAGGATAATCAAGGGGTAGCTGGACAGTCCCATAGGGGACTGCTTGAGGATACTGGGGAGGGGTGGGCTGGGGGTACTGTGAGAACAGGGGCCCCTCACTGGGGTGGGCATTGAAGCAGGGTGCCAGTCCTGTAGAGTCAGAACCCACTGGGCACCCCTGTTCTGGCTTGACCTGCACTTGTCCGTAATGTTCAAGTCGAGGACACTGTCTGTAGGCCCCACCTGAAGCCTTGGAGCCTGGGTACAGCCCAGAGTGGGAGGGGAACTCACCCCATGTTTCTGGGGTGGGGTCAGGATAGGAGACCTGCTGGGGGCAGGGGCTAGGGCTGTAGTTGGTGGGGGGACCAGGCCCAAAAGTCAGGGAGCCTGGACCCCTACCTCCATAAGGCTCAACTGCTGTCCCCTCTGGTCCCCCATATCCCACAGTGTCAGCAGGTGGGAAGGCCATATAGGGGTTCAGACCACTGCTCATCATGGAAGCTCCAACCTCTGGTTCTTCCTGTAGCCCTCTGGTATCCATGGTGACATTCTCAGTGATGCTGGGAGGCTGTGGTGAGTAGACAGAGGTTGGGAGGTGGGGATCAAAGTTCCGGCCTGCCCCTGCCACAGTAGGGGGTGTGTGTACGCAGCCCAAGCTCTTGAACCGCTGGACTCTGGCTGGAGCAGGGCGATCAGCAGCCCGGGCTGGGTCACTGGCCCTCCGGGTGACCCCTGCATTCGGGTTGTATCCTGGATACTCCAGTCGACTTCTCCAAGGAGGTGCAGGAAGACTCCCCACCCGATCCAGGCTGGGTGCTGCAGTGGGTGGGGTGCTGCCCCCCCTGGCCAAAGCATATCTTGCTCGGAGCAAGTACTGCTGGGCAGGTGTGAGGCCAGGCAGAGAGGATGCTCCATTCTCTGGTGGGGAGCCAGGGGGGAAAGGGGAGGCCAGGGAGGAGCGGCGGCTGACAGTGTAAGCTGAACTGACGCTGCTGGAGCTGCTGCTGCGGCGGTCAAGAGAGCCTGGGGGACCCAGACGGCGGGGCACAGGGGCACCTGCAAATGAACGCGAGAAAAGGCAGGGTGCTCAGGAAGCCCCCAAACCTCACCATGTCCACCCATGGGATAGCCTTGTCCTGTAGTCCCAGGCACAGGCTCCTTAACCTTAACCACTCAGCTGTGTCTCCTACTTTGCCCATGCTTGTTCTGCTTCTGATTCAGGGCTGCCGTGAATAGTTGCACAGGTTGTAAACTGCACAATCATAGGGGACGGCATTCACATCATAGATTTTTTATATTATAATAATAACTTTCTGACAGATGGAAAGGTGTTTAAGGAAGGGGACCTTTTTCTAATTGCACATAGGTACCATATGGCAGCACTGAAGGGTGGCCTGCACCTCCCAACCTCAGAGCAGGTTGAGTCTCAGCCTAGCAACCACCCTCCACGCCCAGGTCTCACCGGTGTGGGTCAAGCTGGGCAGTTTGAGGCCCCGGGGCCCTATCGGCCGGAGCTGATGTAGCTGGTCCAGCCTGAGGTTCTCAAGGCGACGAAGGGTGGACAGACCAGTGCCAGCAATGCAAGGCCCCTCATCCAAGCTGGACAGGTCCTCAGTGCTGCCCCCAGCATTGCCAGTCATTTCCACACCACTATCTGTATTGGCTGCACTGCCTGCTGGAGAGTGGTCACTGCTGCAGGACGACTGGGCCCCAGGGCTTGGCTGTGGTTTCTGTGAAGGAAATGAGGGCTGAGGGCAGTACCCTTCCCCTCCCCCTACAGCTCCCTGAACTTGGTGGGAGGCTGAAGCCTGTGTCCCAGTGACTGCTGGGGCTGAGAGGAGGCTTTCAGTTGAGGAGTGGGCTGAGCAGGTAGGAGACTGGGGTCATTGGAGAAGAGCTGTTTTATGAGAAGAGCCTAGAGTGGAACACAGACTGCCTGGGCTCAAACTCTTGCTCTTTATTTTATACAACCTTGAGCAAGTTTTCTCATCTGAACATTGGGAAAATAGTAGTTCCTTTCTCGTGAAGGTGTTGTCAGGAGTATCTGAAATGTAAAGGGCTTAGAGCAATATTGCCTATGTTGTGTGCCGTTGAGTCAATTCTGACTCACAGTGACCCTATAGGACAGTGCAGATCTGCCCCCATAGGGTTTTCAAGGCTGTAATCTTTATAGAAGATTTCCAGATCTCCTGCTGAGTGCCTGGTAGGTTCAAACCATCGACCTTTCACGTATCCTTAGTGCTGTATAAGAGTTTATTGAATGAATTAAGTAAGTGATTAAACTAAACTCACTAAATTTTGGGTAGTCTAAGGAACAGCACTGAGACAAGAGGCTAGAAGACTGGCAACAGAGAGTGATTTGCTGAGGAGGAGATGGATAGGGAGGGTGTGTGTGGCTAGAATGATGTCAGCAGGACAGGCTGGGGACTGGAGGTTGCCTGGGCTGTCTCACCATGGCACCCTCCGGCACGGTCAGTCTGCTGTCCTCTCTGATGGGGCCTCCATCCCGCTCCCTTTTGGGTTCCACTGTGGCAAGGGGTGGTGCCCGGGGCAGGGGGCCATCCCCTCGGTGCCGCTTGGTCACATGCGCATCAGGACCGTGCACTGTCTTGACATGCTTTCGGAGTGAGCTGGGATCTGTGTAGCGTTTGGTGCAGCCAGGGAGCTTACACACATATGGCTTCTGTTGAGCAGAGTAAAGACAGAAGGCAAGGGGATCAGTGTGGAAGAATGCAGAGGTGGTGGGAAAAAGTGGTGCCCATGAGGGCATCAAGTGGAGGACAAGGCCAAAAAGGAAGGGGCACACAGTCCTCAAAGAAGAGATGAGGCTGGGGCCACTGAGGTGGGAGTACAAGATGAAGGGATCAAGGTAAAGATCAGAAAAACTGAGCTCAGGCCTGGGAAAGATGAGGGAAGAACCCAGGGCTGTGAGGCCTCATGAACTCAGGTTGAAGGGGCCAAGGGTTTCCTCTAGTAGAATGGGTCTATTTTGGGTTAGCCCCTTGTGTGGTTGGAGGTGGTTAGAAAGGCCTTCTCTCATAAACTATATAGGGAAGGGGTTGCTCACCTCTGTGGAATGGGTGATGGGCTAGGGGATTTCTTATGGGAGAATCTCCCTGGCAGGTGGCTTCTCAAGTGGGAGAAGTTCTTTTGGATGGGGCATTCACCTCATTGGAGTGGGTCCGATTCTGATGCTTGGCTCGGTCACTGGCATTGCTGAAGGCTTTACTGCAGCCCTCGTGCTCACACATGTATGGCTTCTCACCTGTGTGTGACCGCAGGTGTGTCTTCAGGTTTTCGAGGCGTGAGTATGACTTCCGGCACCCTTCAAACTGGAGGAACATGAGAGTCAAAGCATAGCTCTCGGGCAGGAGGACATAGAGATTAGAGGAATCCTAAATCTCAATAGGGACACGTCAGAAAGTATAACCCAAGGTAAGAGAGCATTGGGGCCTTCGAGGCAGTCCCTAAAATGAACAGACAAGGGCATGCAAGAGGTGGGGGAACAGAAGCAACTGGAGGCACTTGGCCTGCAGGGACGTGAAGGTGAGGCAGTGAGCATCTCCTGGTCAAGCCTGCATGGGGATCTCAGACCATCTTCAGATGAGTATGTCCTGGGGAATGGGTAGGGAGGAGAGTGTCCTATGTCCTGAATGCAGGCTTATCTATCAGTCAGAATAGAAAGCACAGTACCTAAGGCTGGCAATACTTTCAGAGATCTATGAAGATGTTTTCTTTTAAAATCACAGGGAAAAAGAAAGAACTTTTAGGTTATAGAAAATGTTTCAATATAAATTAATGTATTCATCATTAGACCAACAGAGTCATAAGAAATTTTTAATATTTGTTTATAGAGACAGAGGCCTAGGAAGGCAAAAGTGTCCAGGAAACCCTGATTTAGGGAAGGGCACTGGCCTTGGGAAGAGGGTGCCTCACCGTGCATTTGTGTGGCTTCTCGCCTGTGTGTCTACGCATGTGCACCACCAGCATGTACTGGGCTTTGAAGGGCCTCAGCTCCCTGGAGCAGCCCCCCCAGTGGCACACGAACTCCTTCCGCTCCCCATGGATGTGCTCGCTGTTGATGTGCTGGGGGAGAAGACGCAAAGGCTCTCCAAGGTTCCCCTCAGCCCCTCAGACCCAGAACAGACCTTCCCTCCACCCTTATTCCTCTTCCCCATTGTATTCCTCCATGGCTCTGCTCTACCTCACAGAGGAAGGAAGGGTTGGGAAGACCTTATACCCCACATCTCAGTACCTCCAACTTTCTAAAGCTACAGCTCAACTGGGCACACGACCTCCGACCTCCGAGTTCAGTATCCTTTGAACTCCTGCCCTCAGCTTGATTCCAGATGTCCCACCCAGAATCTCCTACAGGCTTTAGCCAGCCATTCCAGTTACCACCCCATCCTGCCCCACCCCTCCCCATTCCAGGGCTCACGTGCACCAGCTGCTCCTGCGAATCAAATTCCTGGCTGCAGCCATCCCAGTGGCAGTCAGTCTCATACACAGATTCAGGTTCAGGCTTCTCCTCTCTCTCCAGGTCTTCCCGCCCCTCCAGCATTCCCAGCAGGGGGTCCTAGGGCAGCAGAGGCAATCCAAGGTGACTTGGGTGACAGCTTTTGTTTTGCTCATGTCCCAGAGGTGAAAATCCCCTTCCTCCCTGTACCTGTGTGCCTGTGGAGTTGGGACTGGACATATCACCTTCCAAGGGCTCCTCCGGGCACTTGCCAACCAGCACATCCAACTCAGACTTCAGCTTTTCCAAGGGAAGAGAGGAGGGTGATGAGGGTAAAAGTGGGCAGAAAGAAGAAACCCAGCCAGGTCTCCTTGCTCTGAGTGCCCCTACCCCCTGGGTTTGTTACAGACTTCTTCCTCAGACTAGACTGGTGAATGGATGGGTGAAAGGTGGGATCTCATTTAGAGGGGTCTAATTCAACCACAAGGAGTGAACCCCAGCACCCACATCCTTTTATTTTTCTGGTATGGATAACATTCACATCCCATTTTCTTCCCTCCACCCTGCAAAAAAAAAAAAAAAAAAAGAACCCACAGACAAATGCACTGCCACTGAGTTGACTCTGACTAATAGTGACCCCTGAGCTAAGGAAATCAGGTAGCAGTATGGGAGCTCTCACCTGGCAGGTTGGGAGAGGTCCCCGGGACTGAGGATGTGGCATCATTCCACCCCGGGTGGGGTCATGGGGACCACAGGGCTGGACCCCAAAGGAAGGCGAGGTCCCTTTTTGGTGATTCATATGGGGTGGGAATCCCAGAGAGGGGCTGAGGAGGAGGAGGAGGGGAGGCAGTTACTTAGGACTATCATCTCAGATTGTCTCAGGAGTTCTTGGGCTATTTGGAGGGTCTCTGGAGGACTTGGCATGGGAAGTGATTGAGGCAGTGCCTGGGAAGTAGTGAGAAGGATTTTGCTGCCTTTGAACTAATAAGGATTCAAATAGTGTTTAGAGGGCTTGAAGCTTTTCATGGGGTTTGGTAAGGTCTTTGAGGGACCTCTTAGCCTGTGGCTGCCTGCACCTCATGGTGCCGATGGAGAGGTGGCCATAGGAGCCCCCTGGAGATGCACAGCGAGAGTTGATGTAGGCCACGAGGGAACTGGGTGAGGTGCGGATAACTGTCTGCAGGTCCAGGCTGGCTTCCGACAGAGGTGAGATGGAGAGTGCCCTCTTCTTGGTCAACTTGACTCCACTCCGGGGAGGAGGAAAGAGTGGGGCTGGGGCAGGGGACAGGGGACATAGATAAACTAAAGGGGCATGCACCCATCCCATGGATCCTAATGCAGCAAAAAAAAAAAAAAAAAAAAGACACTAACTCCACTTTGCCCAACTAACCCCATCTGTGACCTCCTAATCATTGTCTGACCCCTCACTCCATCTTCCAGCATTTCTTTCTCCAGGTTAGAGCCCCTGCCCTCCCACTTTCTTCCTCAGGACAAGTCCCAGAGGGAAAGAGAGGGAAGGGGGTGATGCCCAAGGCCTCACCCTCTGTGCAGCTGTTGGTCTCTCTAGCTGGTCCATAACTGTGGGGGCTGGACATGAGGTTGGCCTGGTGGCAGAAGGGCATACCAGAGAGTCCTAGAAAAGAGAGACAGCTGGAATGGGAGATGGGAATGGAGGGCACCTGAGGCCTCACCTTGAAACCCCAAGCAAAGCTTGATCCCAGAGTCTAAGTCCATATGATATGGGGGCTCAAATCTTCCATAAATGTGGAACTTTTACAGATAGGGGGCAGGGCATGTGTCTGGGAGATATCCCTAGTGAGGCACCCAGGTGAAGAGACCTACCAAGTCCTTAAGGCCTAGGGATTGGTATATGCACTGACCTTCTGTCCCCATGCTGGGAGCCCCCTGACTGGGGAGGGGCCGGAGACAGCAGGGTTCACCATAGCTACTGACTGGCGGTGGGGTCATCGAGTTGAACATGGTGTTTCAGAGGAGGGTGTGGGAACACTGCAGGAGGGGAGGAATATCTGCAAGTTATAAAGCAGGAGGGATATGGGGAGATCAGATAACTATCTCAGTCACAGAACCCTGGGCAGAACTTGCCCTGTGTTCCTACCTTCTTTATGACATCTACCCTGGGAAATCAATTCGCAAAGAGCATCATTGGAGTGAAGGAAAGGGGAGGACATAAAGAGAGCCTTCCCAAAGAGGTGGAAGCAGTCTTAGGAATCCTTGGAATTGGTTGGGTAAGAGCTTTGTGGAATTGGTTGGGTAAGACCTGAGTGGTCTCTGTGTGTATGTGTGTGGCAGGGAGTTATGGAATGACTGTGCTTATATGAGCTTCAAGAGATTTTAATACCATGGGACCTCTTCTTCTTCTAGCTCTGGCCAAGAAGCAGATTTAAGGGGTGGGATGGAGGAACTTTCCTGCCGTGTCTGACTTCAAGCTCTGGGCTGCACTACCTCAGCCCCTTTCCTTCACTTGCCCTGTCCTGTGACAGCTGGTCTACAATCTTTCCGGGGTCCAGCAGAGGGAGCCCTCGCCACAGGCGAGTCCTCAGCCAAAGAGGTTGACTGGGCCTGGAAGAAGCAAGGAACTGCCCCTCTTAAGAGAAAACTGTATTGAAGGGGAGATTTGTGAGGGGACCCTGGGACTGTTGGGTACAAAGGATGGAAGTCGTGTTATTCAGGGGTGGTTTTGCATCTGGGCGCTCGCCTAACCCCTTTGGTCTCTGCTTTGGGGGAACAGGAAAAAGATTGTGATGAAGACTTTGGGAGAATGCAAAAACTAAGTCAGAACCCAATACAGAAGCCTTGTAGGTGAGGATTGGGCGCCTCTGTCTGCTCTTCAACTTCAATTTATAATCCATCCCAGGTCTTCCGAGCTCCCAAGACTGAGGGTGGGGTGGGGCGGGGTGGGGTGGAGAACGACCGGGAGCGGTCCGGCCGGCGCGGTGGGTGATCCCGGGATGCTGGGATTTAGGGTGAGGGCGGGGTAAAATGGGGAGCGGAATCCGGACCCCAAGACCCAACCTGAGCCCCGCAGCCTGGGCCGTACCCTTCCTAACTCCTCCTTTCCCTGTGGAGATCCGGATCCCGCATCCAAGACCTCCCAACACGACCTTGGCACTATGCTGAGGGGGAGGGCACAGCTGGCTGGCAGCTGGATGAGGGGGACACTTCTCCCGCCTCCTTCCCGAGTGACTCACTCAGGGGAAGGAGGCGGGGTCGCAAACGGCCCCCCAAACACTAAAGAGACTCCCCAAAAGTGCCTATCCCGTCATCTTCTTGCCCCACTGCCCAGCCACCTGGGACCGCGATGGAAATGGGGCGACATCCCTTCTCGCCCACGCATGCCACAGCCCACCCCACGTTTCCCCTGTACAATAACGAAAGGAAAATTTCGCCAGCTTTTCCAGCTTCAGCAAAGTTTTTCTGGGGTGTGGGTGAGAGTGCAGGATGAGGCAGGGAGCTCCAGGGTTCCCCAGCCGGAGCCCTGAATCATCTGTGTCTCCCAATTTTCCACAGTCCCCCTCCCAACCCAGCTCCCCAACTCCCAGGAGTCGGCCCCGCCCCCCTTCTCCTGGTCCCGCCTTCCCCGCCCCCGTGCCTCCTCGGCCCACCCAAGTCGCTGCCGCAGGCTCTGGCTGCAGTCGGCTCCGCTTCCCCCGCCCGCCCCGGGAGCCCAGTCGAGCGAGCCGTAGTAGTGGTGGTGGTGGTGGTGGTGATGGTGGTGGTGTGAGTGTGTGTGTGTGGTGTTGAGGGTGGGGGCTTAAAGGACGGGACTCATTCTTCTGTCCTTCCCTCCGTGGCAATGGCGCCCTGGGGGGGGGCACTATTACAGTGGGGGGTCCCCAATCCAGAAAATATAGGGAGAGAATGTGACTGGGTAAATAACGTGTGTATGAGGGAAGGGGCCAGGACACCTTACGTTCTCAGGTATCCCAGCCGGCTTCCCAAGGGTTAATCCGTTCCAGACCCCCGGGAACCCCCTAATGACGTCAAGGGCGGGGTCTGTGCCGCCGGGCGGGGATACCAAGGAGATAATGGGGGGGGGATGTCTCTGGACCCCGCCCCCTAGGGAAAACCACCCTAATTCCTGCCCTAACTTCTCCCTCGGGAAATTGCCCCGCCTTCTACCTCTACTGGGGTGTAAAAATCTACCCTTTGAAGAAACCAGTCTCCAGCCCCCTAAAACTCTCAGTACCCAGTCTCTATGGGGTCCCCCCCTAATCCTGTCCCCAAAGCTAGTTGCCCAGAGCGGATTGTTTCGGGGTCACGGGGCCTGAAAGAGGCTTCAGAGGCGGGGAGCAAGGGCAGGCAGGGTGGTCTGAGTCAGAGGAGGGGCCTCGGTCCCCAGCTCCCGTTTGAGGAGGGGGAGGGCAACGGGATGCGCCAGCAGGCTGTGGCCAGTGGTCCAGCCCAGCCCCAGTAGGGGTCTCCCTGCGGCTGGCCCTAGCTGCCCTGGTGGTCCTGAGTTCAGAGGGTCAAGACAAGGTCTCCCCACCTCCTCCTCAGCGCCCTACCCACAACCCTTGGGACCAGGAGTCCAAATTCCATGGGGAATCTTTCTAGGCCTAGATTAGATACTGGGCTGCCCCTTCCTTGTCCAGAAAGACCTCTTTTTTCCCAAAACATATGCACCCATGGGCACATCTGTACAAGACAGGTCAGGGGTTCAAGCCCAGCCACCACCCAGTGGTTTTATCACCTCACCACACACACACACACACACACACACCCATCCCCATCCCACCTAGGGTTCCCTCCTTCGTGATCCCCTCCTTTCAGAAACACTGACGTTTTCTTGCCCGGCTCTGAAACACACCTGGAGTTCCCTTTACCACGCAGAACTCCAGCTAGCCGTCCCTCCAGCCTCTTCATCTCAACTCCTGAAAGTGAGATGTTTCTGATATATGGGAGAGAGGGAGGCAGACAAAGAGACCCACAATTGCCTGAGACAGAGACTGACCATTAGACTCAGAAGAAAAAAAAAAGGGGGGGGGGAGAGATACAGGAAAAGTTTGGGAGCTGCAAATGAAAGAGTTCTCCCAACTTTTTAATTTCTCACCCCTGGCTCTCCCACCCCCATTGTGCCCCAGTGCCCAGGTCTCCCTCTTGGCTGGTTGAGTCCCTTGGAAGCAGAGCATCCCCTCAGGTCCCTTCCCCCACCGCTCCCAGGTGGTCCCCCGCCTGCCCCCCTTTCTCACCTCTGTCTGGGCGCTGGGCTCGGGATGCGCGGTCCAGGGCTGGAGTCTGGGCTGGGGGGTGTACGGTGGGGAGGGGGGGCGGACAGGGCCACAGCGGCGCAGCCTCAGTGCCACCCCCCCCGCCCCAACCTGGCCCCCAGCCCTCCAGCCGGCCCAGCCCGCCGGGCCGCGAGCCGGGACCACCCGCGAGAAGCGCAAACTTTTTTTCCTTTTGCAAAAACTTTTTCTTGCTCTAGTCGCTGGCTCGCCTCCGCTCTTCCAGCTTGCCCCTCACCTCCCTCCTATTTCCTTCCCTCTAGCCTTTCTTGAGGATGAGGCAAGGTGGCTGGAAAGGAGAGAGGGGGTGCCGGGCTTATTGCACCCCCAGGACCCCCAAGATCCTCCCCCTCCCTTGAGGGACCCTATACTGCCACCCCCTCCCTCGCTGAACACGCTGCTGTCGGTAGGCAGTAAATCCCGGCATGGATCCATGGATCGGTTGTTCACCAAGAGGCCCTTAAAGTCCAGTCGGGAAAACGGACTGAGAACTATATGGGGAAAGCAACGAAAAACTTCATTTTAGAAAACACTGAAGGGTAGGATTGTCGACTTTGATTGGTGCTAACTCAGTATTCTGCGTCCCGTGGTTGATCGGCCGGCCTCGTCCTTTGGATGGAACTTGGATGGGTTGGGACATAGTTGAGGTTTGAGAGAGACACAGTTGAAGGGCTGGGGGCTTTGGGCGGAAGGTGAGGGGTCTACTGAGCATAAAAGAAGCAGCGGCTGAGGCTCTGGGTGCAGGGTGTGTGTTTGCAAGCCACCTAAGGGGCCCTGGGCCTGAAGCATTGCTCCCCGAGAAGAACTATTCCCCGAGAACCCCCGCTTTCCTTCATCTGGAAGTTCGAGAGACTGCTGCCACCTCCGCACTTCACCACTGCCTTCACTCTTCCGTTCTTCAGGGCTTTCTGCTCCCTCTGCTGGCCTATCTGGCACATGGCACCTTTCGGAGCCTGCTGAGAGGCGGAGGAGATTGGGGGAGCTGAAAGAGCAGGAGACTTCACTTGTCCTCGCACCAAAGCCCAGTTAGGAGCCCAGGGCCGTGGGTGTGTAAGCCCAAAGAAACGAAGGGGCACACTGGCAGTGGCTCGCGAAGAGCAGTAGGGCCGAACTGAAAGGGGCGTTCCCTGTGCCTTCGGATTTGTGTCGCCTTGGTGACCAGATGCAGGGGAAGGGACAGCTATTTCAGTCTCTGTGACCTTTATGCCAAAGGGGAAAACTCATGGTGGAGGGAAAGAGTCCCTGGCACCCCTGAGACAGACCGCCATGTCCCAGTTCTGATTCCAAGGACCACCTCCTTGGGCATGGAGGGTCAATGAGTTAATTTCATTCTGAAGGTCATGGGGAAAAGGTGAAGCTGGGGAGAGGTATGGGTCCTTCAAAGATAGGTGGTAACGATGGGTAGGGGGAAGACAGATAAAAAGCCTTGTTTGAGCCTTCCTCCCCTACATGATGCTAACCCAGACACCAATTATATGGACAGGGACACATCTGAGTCAGGCCAGACCAATGGCCCCTGGAGTGGAAGGAAGGAACCAGCCACATGCCCTGTGCCCTAAGGGAGCCCTCTTTTAGAATGCCCTCTCCACTCAGTTCTTTAGAACAGTGGCTCTCAAACTTTTTGGTCTCAAGACCTCTTTACACCTTTCAAAGGTACTGAGCTTTGTTCATGTGGTTTGTATCTATTAATTTACCACATTCAGAATTAAAATGAAAAAAAAAAAAAACTTAAACACAAGAATACACACGCATACATTCCATTAACAATGATGTCAGACAGATGATGTAATCACATGTCGTGAGGACTTTGGAAAACTCCACTGTTCACTTTTAAGATAATGAAAAAATTTAAAAGGCAAACAACATTTTCATACTATTATGAAAATAGTTTTGACTTGTGGATGTCCCTGAAGGAGTCTGAGGTATCCTTCCAGGAGTCTGCAGCCCACACTTTGAGGACTGTTGCCCTGGACCATAGCCTCATCCCATTTCATTACGCACAATTGTTGATTTTTGTTTTCTCATTTTTGTTAGGAAAGTATAAATGTTTGTCTCCCCAGTGGGCCCTGCCCCCCAGGGAAAACCAGAAACTTCTCTAGGGCTCAGCAGTCCTCTCTTGATTCTCATTTCTGAGGTTTCCCTAAGCACCCTCGTTGGGCTCCTTGCTCATCTCCTTCTTGATCTTTCCTTAAAGCACTTAAATAATCCCTACTCTTGGCCAGCCTGTTTTCCCTGCCCCAAGCCTTCTGGGCCCTCTGTCTGCTTCCTTCTTCTCCTTACCTGAGGACTTTCTTTTCCTGGGAGAGACTAAGTAATTTTTTTCTGGATTCTTCTTCCCTCCCTCCCACCCTTGCCCCTACTGTCTTCTCATAGAGCTTAGACTAGGAAATCATCCTTTCCTGGGTAGATCTCCTTGGAAAAAATACTTGACCCATCTCCCCACACATCAACCAACTTGGAATAGGCCAGGAGTCTGGACAAAAAAGTGCCCATTTGGGTCACAGAAGGATCAGCCCAGTCATACTACCAGGTCATCTATGGGTAGGAGTGTTGATCAGGAATCTGATGTCTTCAGCCACAGATGCCCTTTGCTTGGGAACCCCTGACTTGTCCTCTTCACTCCAAACCCCCAGGTCCTCTTGCTAGCTGCAGCCACAGGCCTCCACCACCATGTCTGGCACATCTGTCTTGACCACATTGCCATTACGGTCAAGGTAGAGGAGGGACAGAGGTCTTCGGGCAGTGGGGACACAACAGGAAGTACTTGAGGGCCAAGGGTTGTTGGCCTTAAGGAGGCTGAAGACAGCAGAATGGAAGGAGGCAGCAATGCCTGGGCTGCCAGCCAGGTGTGGGGGGCACTGCCCATTGCAGTAATTCAGCTGGTACCCCTCAGGCTGCAGGATCCAGTCCCTCCATCCCAGTTCTTGGAAGTCAACATAATAATCTCTCCTACAACACAAGGGAGTCTCAGGCTCACAGGAGGGGGTCCTCCTCCTAGCCCGGCCTGTTCCAAGGTCATTGGCCCGGATCTTAAGTTCCAAGAAGGGCCGCTGGTCACCTGCTGTGTCTATGAGCCACTGTGGTGGTGGAGCAATCGTACTATTGCCCTCTTGGTGTCTGCACTCCAGCTGGAGTTTGAGGACACTTAACTCCTCACTCTTCAAGCCACTAGAGGGCAGAGTCAGGGCGTGCCAGCCTGAGGTATTCATCTGGTGCTCAGCCAGGAGGGTGCGGGACCCTCGACGTCTCCTCCTCGGCCTCCACCGGATGATTCTCAAGTAAAGGGTTCCAGGAAGGTTGGGGAGCACATGCAGCCAGAGGCGGGCGTGGTACAGGTGGTGCGCCCGAGGAGTGGACAGGTGGAAGGTGAGCGTGGAGCTGCAGGCTGAAGCGGAGGAGTCTGCCCAAAAGATAGAGAAGGGAAAGAGAAACATGAGCACAGACGAAGCCTCCTGTAAGATCCCCCTAAGCCTTCCCACTGCTCTCCCTCGTGCCCACCTCCAGAAGGAGTAGGGAATGCCTTACAGCCTGGCAACCAGTCCCTGCCCAGTTCCTCCCTCTCCTACCACACCCTATTCCCTCTGCCTTTTCTGCCAGGCTCCCCTTCTTCCTCCCTTTCCCTGAACTCTGCCGGTCTCTTTCTTACCCACCTGTGATGGTAGGAAAGCTGATGATTTCCTCCCCATTCACTGGACTCACACTTCCAGGCTGTAGTCTCTGAAGAGCTCTGGTCAGCGCTGCCTGGGGTGGAGGATGGGATATTCTGGGACGACTAGTCAGGTGCAGCGCTTCCAAGATTTGCTGCTTGGCCAGCTCCAGGACCAGAGCTCGTTCTGCTTGGGGTGCCAGTGGGGGACTCCCACAGGAGGGACATACAGACCCTGCCCCCTGTGCCCACACCAATGCCCACAGCAGCACCAGCCAGAGCAGGACATCAGGGGACCTCATGCTCTTGGTGGATGGCTCTGGCTTGAGAGCTCCAGAGCTCAGATGGTAGTTGCTCCTTCAGTTGAGTCTGCCTGCACTGAGTCTGACTGCACGAAGGCCAATGAGGGCACAGCAGCCGTAGACAGCAGTGCCACACCTACCCCTGGCCAAGTGTAGAGTCACCTGTCTTCTATTGCCTGGGACTCAGGAGGGTAGAAATTGGATTGTCCAATGGACAGCTATGCTTAGCTCTGTCTGTCAGTTTGACCCTCACAGCTTTTGGCTGACTACTGATCTGAGGCCTCTTTAGAGCCGGTGTCTGGGGCTCTCCCACCTAGTGGTCAGCCAGCAGACCTACCCTCCGAGCTCAGGGATTGGACAGCTGTGCTGCCCATCAGGCCCCTGCAGAGGGTGGAGGTCCCCTCTTGGAGCTCCGGTTTCACCATCTGGCCATGGTGACTGGGCTTGAGGTAGGGGTATGGGGGTTGGGGGGTGTAACGTGGACACACATGATGCAAGAAAGAGAATGATTTCACATGCTCAGTCCCCAAGGTCTAGGACTCGGGGGAGGGGATTCCATAAGAGCCAGGTGGGAAAGGGCCATGTCTCTGCATACCTCCAGTCTTTCTAGCTTGCACAGATGCTGCTGCCACAGTACTTCCCATGAGCAGCAATGAGTCCCAGTGGGAAGTCCACTGAGGCCTCTGAGCCAGAAGGAGCACTCTGGCCTCTTTATTTCTAGCAATGGGGCTCAGACATGGGTGGAGGTTGGGAGGGACGGAGTCCTCTTGTCCAGGCAAAGGTGGCAGTGCCACGGGGCATGAAAGTCACCCCCTGACCCTGCTTATGCTGGCTGCCCAGAGTCCAACTGGACTGGAGCACAACGTGGAGGAAGGCCAGAGCATGGGCTGGGGGGAGGTGAGTGGTGTTACCGTGATGTCTGGGGAGACCCAAAGAGGTCTGTGGAAGGGTGGCAGTGATGCAACCTCACAGTGGGGCAGAGTCCATCAAGGCTGGCAGAGGGCATGGGATTTGGGAGGGCTTGGACTTAGCTGCTGGTTCTCTTTTAGGCAGCTGTGAGAGTTGTCTAAATCTGGGGCATCCTATAGGTAGTGCAATCTCAGCCAGCCCTCTCTGGAAGTGGAGTGGAAAACGGGGGAGTTAAGGACTTTTGAAAGCAAAGCAAGGAGAGTGCAGCAACCTTAGTTCAATCCCTGTCCTCCTTACCATGCTTCTTTACTGACTTTAAATGGGAGGACCAATTCCCCGCTTTCTTAAACTCCCTGGGGTTGGCCTAATGCTAACTTTCGTCCTTATGCCACAGGTTTTTCAAGAAGCTGGGGAGAAGAAAATTGTGGGGGAAGTAAGTGTGGTTTGGAAGTATGCCCCTACTCCATTTTATGCATCTCCACCCTGTTTAGCAGATGGGGGCTATCAAGCGAGACTGCTAGACAGTCTGAGATGTGGCACCAGGGGGAGATGACTCTTGCTTTAGGGGGCCTCAGTACCATCAGTGTCCACCATGTGGCAATGCTGTGCCACTGGACAGCCACAGGCCAATAGCTGACCAGTAGCTTCCCAGGGAAGGGGCTGCCCTGGAGAATGGAGAGCCAGGAGTGGTCCTCAACCTCTCACTCAGGGGACCTGCCTCCCCACCAGAAGACAAGGAGAGCTGGTTCCTCTGCTCCCTCTGTCAAGAAGCAGAGACCACCCTCAGGATCCATATCACTGCTACCTTTGGTATGGGACCTCATCACACTGACAAGTGGCAATGGACCTTGGTTATGGGTGCCAGGCTCTTCCTAGAAGCTTAAGGCATAATATGGTGGGGAGGGCGAAGAGACCATGAGACTCATACGCTCCTATCCACCCTGCGTTTCTCCCTAGGCTCTGAAGCATATTCAAACTCCTCTGTCCAGTGCTCTTTCCAGCTCCCAGCATCCTCTCTGTTGGTCAGGACCAGTGAGTGACAGCCTTCTACCCCCTGGGGTCTAAAAAACACAGGTTGCAAAGTGGAGGTTTGCAGGTTTGCACTGTGATGTTTGGGAGGGCTTACCTGTTAGTGCCAGGAGATAGAGCCAGAGGAAGGAGCAAGAAGTGACCGAAGAGTCACTGAACCTTACCTCTCCCCCACACTCACTCTGTCAGGTGCCCCCAATTTCCAGCTCTTACCACCCCCTTGCTGCTGTGCCTGGCCTGGCCCTACCTCCCCACTGACACTTACGTCAGAACTCAGCTATAAATATGCTCTTAGCATCTTAGTCACTTTTCCCAAGAAGTGCTCCCGAGGTTATAAATACCCCAGCCATCTGCCTCTCGGCCTGCCCTACCACCAACCTGGTTGGGGACTGGGGGTAGTGACAGGCTTGGGTGTGTGTAAGGAAGTAAAGGAAGCTGAAGTGGTTATCTTGCTCAGATGAGAAAAGCCTGATGAGTTCTAGAGTTAGGGACTAGGGAGCTCTGAAGGAAAAGGCTTGGAAGAAGATGGGCCCCTTCTTTCTCCATTTTTCAAAAAGCAGAGACAAAATGGAATAGGATTAATACCAACTCAGTGTTTATTTAAAATTTTGCTATTTTGTTCGTCATAATTGTTTTGCATTAATTTTTATTTTAAAAAATACTGCATTACAATATTGTTTATCTTGACTACTGAATTTTTTTAGCATCTCCTTAAACGTTTTGCCCCCAAGGTGAGTACCTCACTTCACCTCACCTTACTCAGAGCCCTGACGACTGAAGCTGGAGTAAGGAAAAAATTTTGGGGATCAGTATGTAGGAGGGGAGGACACTAGCTTGAGGGACAGGTGGAAAGGGCACTAGAAGACCTAAAGGCTCTGAGTGTCTTCTACCCACGGCTCAGATGTATAGCCCCCAGCCCTGGGAAGGTTCCTTTCAGACTTTCTCCTCTGGGGTTCCTATTCTGGGACCTCTTACCCCGGTTGGAGGGGGTTATGAGTTAAGCAAACACAGACAGCACGTTCTCCAAAGGTCACATGGGCTTTGCGCAAACTCGGCCTTGGCTGCAGACGATATCGACCCCATGGTTCAGGGCTGCCCAACCAAAGGGAGGAGACGATGGAAGAGAAAGGGCAAAGGTGAAAGAGGACCCAGTCTCAGAGCAAATGCCTCTCTCTCCTCATCTCTAGCCTTTCTCTTCTTCTCCCTTTCCAACTCAAGTGTTCCTTGTTGGCCAGTTCCAACTTCCGGGCAGGACTCCTGGATGGAGCCCTGTGGGTCAGTGAGGGGAGGTGAGTCAGAGGTTCTGGCAGCTAGCTAGGAGCCATGCCTCTGCCTCCCACCACGTGCATGCCCACAGGTTGTTGGCCTACTTGATGATTGATCAGCGGTTTGTCTCATCTTTTGGAGCAAGTACAGAGGGAGGAGAGGAATGGGTAAAACACAGGGTCTTTATTAGCCATGACACCAGCAAAACTAGATCTGGGAGGGTGGAGGGGGCCTAAGAAAGAAGAGGAGGCAGTGTTGGGGAGGAAGAGTCATGAAGCGTGAGATGAAAGAGGCAACAGCTCAGCCTGAGTAGTCTGTGTGTAGAGAGACAAGTGGTCAAGGCAGGCATGTTCCATGTTATCTGAGTGTCAGTCAGGATCCTGGCAGGAGATAGGGGACAGACACACTCAGCTGTCTATATTTGCTTCATTAAAAGGACTTAGTGAAGGAATTATTTACAGAGGGGTTATGAGAACCAACAAGGGATGTTGAAACATCCAGAGACAAGCAAGAGCAGAAAGCCATTATGACCCCTACCTTTGAAGCAGTGATAACAGAATTTAGGCAGAGCTAGAGCCATGGAAGGGGGTAGCCAGACAGGAGCTATAGAGACACAGCCATAGTCACACAGAACCATGACACCTAGGCAGAAAGGAAGCAGGAGTAAGAAATACCCTGACCTCTGTCTTCTCCTATCCTTTGATCTGCGTCTCCCTGTAGTCAAATACCAGGGAGCCAGAAAGCAAAGGTGATAGCTCAGGTGGTCAGCTCCCAAGGGCATAAAGCAAGGCAGAGAAGGGCAAAGAGTGGCTGGAGGTGTGCATAGAGAACATTAGCAGCCCACCTGGGCAGGTAAGAGAGAAGGGGCTCAAGACACAGTTGTAAGGAGAGGGTGGTAAAACTCACTTTGGGAAACAGTAATCTAATCTTTGGTGAATCCAAGAAAGGGGCTCTCTGAAGATTCAGAAAATCAAAAGGAAAGGGTTGGGTCAATTCATCCTGGAATGGGGGCCATTGAGTGGGAAAGGCAGGGAGGCAGAGCAGGCTATGGCATAGATTAGGGTGGGCCAAGGCTGTCTTTGCAGGAATCAGATAGCACTGCTCAAGACTGGAAGTGAATCAGAGTCCTTGGGGTGGGGTGGAGCATGTGGGCTTGTGGGGTGGACTGTGTACCAGGAGAGAGGCTGGTGGTCATGCAGATGGTACAGATGGTACTGAAAACACTTTCCTTAGATGAAGATCTTCTCAAGTCAAAGGTGGAATAATTTCCATGGATTTCTCAGGAAGAGAGAGACTACCTTCTGTAGAGAGTCAATAATAGAGATACTCCTTCATCTCAGGAAAAGGTACCTCTATCAGGACATGTTTGTCCACCCCATCCTGGACTTCCTGTTCTACCCATAGACTAACTGCACCCACAAGCCTCTACCACCATATCAGGTATGTCAGTCTTGACAATATTGCTATCCCTGTCATAGTAGAGCAGAGACAGGGAGCGCCGGGCAGTGGGCACACAGCAAGAGCCTCCTCCAGCAGTGCTCGCTGCTGTGTTGGCTTTGAGCAAATTGAGCACTGCAGTGTGAAATGAGGCAGCAATGCCAGGCATGCCTGCCACATGTAGTGGGCACTGCCCTGTGCAGAAGTTCATTGCATAGCCCTCAGGTTGGATGATCCAGTCGTGCCAGCCAATCTCACGGAAGTCTACAAAGAACTCTTGTCGACAGCACATCCTAGACCCACTCTGGCAGTTGATGCCTCGCCGGCGAACCCGATGCTTGCTCCCAACTCTCACTCGAGCTGCCACAAAAGGCCTATGGGCAGCCTCATCCAGGACAACTGAGCGCTGGGCTGCCTGGCCTTCAGGCACCAGCCCCAGGGTCAGGTGGCCCTGGCTATAGGCAGCCTGAGCTTCAGGCCCAAGAAGGAGCTGGTACCAGCCACTAGAATCTACCTCCAGCAGGTTCTGGGTGGCCAAAGTGAGGTTGGTGTTATGTGGGCCGGGCACAAGGACCTTCACCTTCAAAGTTCCAGTGGTATTGGGAAGGAGCTGTATAAAGAACATGAGGCTGGCCTGCTGGACCTCCATGACACCAGCAGTTCCATCAGAAGAGAAGTGGAAATCAAGACGAGTCTGATTGATGGTAGAGAGGCCTGTGGACAGAAGAAGCTACAGTTATTCTGAGTGTCAATTCTACCAGCTATTTGTCTGTCTTCAGCATACTTGAACTCTCTGTAACACTTGGCATTACTGACCATTTTCTTTCATGAAACATCTTTTCTCTCTTGTTTTCCATGGTACAGCTCTCTTATGGTTCTTCTTTGGTCTTCTTTGCTGGTTTTCTTTATCTGACCATCCCTTTAGTGAAATCGAGTTCTCCCAAATCTGCCTTTAATCTTCATTTCTTTTTACTATACACTGAAGGGAACTCCTACCAACATGCATGGCCAGCCAATGTAATCTTTTTGCTGGTTATTCCAAAATCTGTATGTCTAGTGCAGACCATTTTTTCACATCTGAACCAGACATATAGATTTAGGAATTGCCAAGCTTCAGCCCTAAATTTCTAACTGCTTAATTTTGCCACATGAATGTCCTGCAAGCACATTAAGATCATTTTGTCTAAAATGCAAATAGTTATTTTCTTTCATAACATACTTGTTTTCTTGCTCTTTGAAGTGGTGGTACCACTACCCTCCTTTTTGCTTCTAGAGAACCCAGGATCACTGATTTCACTCTGTATAGCTATTCTTTTACTACAATTGTTCTAATCTCCATACATTTCTTTCTATCTCCATTACTACTGCCCTAATTTCCCTCATCATCCCTCACCTGGCCTATTGAAACACCTTACTTGGGTTTCTATTCCTGCACCTCACTGAAACTGCTCTTGTTAAGATCACCAGTATCTTCCACATTGCCAAATTCAATGGTTTTATCTCTTTATAGTCATCTCACTTGATCTTTAAGCAGTATTTGACACAGTTAACAACCCTTTCCTTCATGAAATATTTCCTTCTCTTGGTTTTTGTGATACTGGCCTTTCTATCTTGGTCTTTGCTGACAGCTCCTTTTCCTCTGTCTGATTTCTAAATATTGGGAGTCCTGAGCTCTCTTCTTTTCTCTATCCATACTCTGTCCCATAATCTCATTGATTCCTATGGTTTGTATTCTGTCTATATGCTGATGACTCCCAAATATATATCTCTGGCCTTGACCTCTTGCTGAACCACAGACTTGTATATCCAACTGCTTATTTGACACTCCATTTGGATATCCAATGGTATCTCAAACTTAACATGTTCAGAGAACTCTAGAATTACCCCTCCCCACCAATCCAAGCCTATTCCTTCTCTAGTCTTCTCCTTCCCTGTAAATGCATTGCTTAAGTCAAAACCTTGATTTTCCTCATTCTGTACATTAAAGCTATCTGCAAGATTTGTTAACTCTACCTCCAATTTATGATATAATCTCTCCTCTCCCCACCGCCTCTACATACATTAGTTTAACCCATAACCATCTTTTTCTTGAATATGGCAATAGTTTCCTAAATAGTCTATTCTCACTGTGCCCCCAAACCATTCTCCACATATCAGCCATTGTTGTTGTTGTTGTTATGTGCTGTCGAGTCGGCCCTGACTCATAGTGACCCCTCCTTGGGTTTCCGAGGCAGTATCACTACAGAAATAGGATTGCCCAACCTTCCTTCCGAGGAGTGGCTGGTGGGTTTGAACCACCAGCCTTCTGGTCAGCAGTCAAGTGCTTTAGCCACTATGCTACCA